GAGCCCCCGACGGACCGCCACCTCCGACCCGACCATGGCCACCAGCGGTGGAACAACGCCGAGCTCCGCCACAGCCCGCCGCCTCTCTTCACCTCCCGCCGCCAGCCTCTTCACCTCCCCCGCCGCCGCTTCTTTCTCCTCCCAATTCCCGAAATGGATCATCTTCACGGACTTTTGCAGGGCCAAAACCCAATCGCGATTGGAGGCGAAATTACCGTCGTGCCCCTCCGAAATTACTTCCCTGCCCTCGCCCGTGTCGTTTTCTTCTTCGGTTGTATCCACTTCTGTATCAATAGGCTCCCCCGCCGGTTTCTCCGCCGGCGCCGGCGTTTTGTGCTGCCTTTTGGCGGCCTTTAAGCGTATGAGCCGTCGAATGTGAGCAAATAGTCTGAGAGTGAGAAATAAGTAATTGGATGGAGATTTTTGCTCTTTCGGTGCCTTTTGAGCAGACATATTTGAAGAAATTCGGACACAAAATCTTGTGTCCGAATTTGTTGAGGTGAAAGGGAAAGTGAAGGATCGAACAAAGGAAGAAGGTAACTGATGAAATGCAAAGAGAAGAGATGGTGGTACATGCAGTTTAAGGTAATATGTTTGCTTTCATGGGGTATAAAAGAATTTCGAAATTTATTTGTGGTACATTTTTGGGAACTTTTGCAAAATTTGTACTAGTAGAAAGGAGATTAATTAATGATTTTTATTATTAGTTATTGTGTGGGNGAGCACTTTTTACTTGGTTGACGTCTTTTGGGCACTGAAATTGGTGGAAGTTTTCCGATCATTGAGGTAATGGAGAGAGTCAAATTAAGGCTAGAGGATGAAGGGTTCGGGGAACCCATACTTTGGAGTAGTTGTGTGTTATTCCAATTGATTTGAGTCGAGTAGCTAATATTAAAACTCGTGTTTGTTTAATGGACGAATAAAAAACATGGTTTAAATTCGTTTCGTTTAAACTCATAAAAGCTCAACTAACTAATCCATAAACTTGAATTCATAAATAAGTTGTTTGACAAGATAAATGTTTGTTACTCTTGTTTGCAAATAAGTTCGATAAGATTTTTTCTTTTAAAATTCAAAACACGCGAGTTGTTCGAGCTCGAGTCATTTAAAGAACCAGACAAGATAAGCTCAAAATTACACGAGTTGAACCGAACTTTGTCCATGAACAACTTTGTTCTAATAACCTTTTATGACAAAAGAAAAGCCTGATTAAATTCTTCAAGTAATCAAGCCTATTTTCTTTCTCAATTCAATAGAAGCTCAAAATAGGTCAATGGTTGTGATTGTATACATTTTCAAGTAATCAAGCCTATTTTCCCCCAATTTTTTTTTTTTTTTTTTTTAAAAAAAAAACTTACTAATTTATCAAGTCATAGATAAAGAGGGTGTATGTGGTTATAGCTTATTGATGGGTTTGACTAATTTTCATAAATATTATTGACTTTATTCATAAGATAAACAAGATATATTATATTGTTTCCGTTGTTTTTCTAATCATCGTTATCGCTCTTATATATAATTATCGAATGCGATGAGGTAAGCGGTAGGCATGTATAATTCATAAACTTATTTGACATAAATTAGTGTTTCATATTGACGAATGAACATGTTTGGTTTTTTGACTATTAGCCTTGAGAATTACCATAAACTATTTTAAATTTTTTTTTTCTTAAGTTACCATATACTACTCTTACATTTTCTTATTAATTCATATATTAATTAATATAAATATGCATTCTTTTTATTTTTAAAACGCGCCATTATGTTCAATAAAAGGAATGAGGGAAGCTCCAATAGAAAAATATTGGAAGGGAAAATTTCTTCAAAGATGAACCCCTTCCCATGTAGTAATCAGGGATTCTTGACGATATCAAGCTGGAACAACCTATTCTTCCTGAATATCTTGATTCAACGCCAAAGAATTTAGGCTTTTGTTTTATTGATCTTCTAAATCAAAACAGAAGGGTAGAAATCTAGTCAGTTTTTTGTTTGAATACAAACAAAACCAAATATCATAGTATTTTTTTAACTCCTCAAAAAGCTTTATAACTTTTTTTTATCTGTATTATATTTTTATATATGATATATAAAAATAATCATATTTTAATGATATTCGATTTGACATCATATTGCATATATAAAATAAAAGATAATTTCATCTATATTTATAAATAAAACTAATTTTATTATAAAATCAATTTAAAGAATATATACCCAATAACATTAAAAATTAATTTTATAAAAATAATAAAAATATAATTTATCAATACACCATAAAATAATTAATTTAACGTGTTTTTTTCCTAGATTATGTATAAAATATATAAATTAAGCATTACATAAAATAAATTTTAAAACATATTATAATTTATTTTTTCTTGATTTAAAATGAATATATAAGGAACTGAATGATATTATGTTGTTTAAAATAATGAATATAAAATAATATAATAAAATATTTTTAAATTTCATAAAGTTAGAAAATAATATATTTTTTCTTAAATTAATATTCAAAATTATTAAATTATATGAATCTAAAATATTTTTAAATTTAATAAACGAGAGACATTGAATCTATAAATATAAAGTAAAATAAAACTTGTTTTGTTTAAAAAAATATTAAATAAATAGAATTGTAAATAATATTTGATTTAGGTAAAATTTAAAAATATAGTTAAATAATGTCATTTTTTACAAATTAGTGTAAAAATACAGGTGTTGTTTTGAATTAATTATCATTTTTTTATTTATATATTGTTAGTGTATATTCATCATGCATAATGTTACAATAAAAATATAAATTATTTTTTTTGTTGTACAAATATTAATACATTTAAGTAATCTTATAAGACACATGTATCGTACGAGTAGAATATAAACCACAATTTCGTCCTTTATTTTTTATAAATTTTAGGAATTTCAACCTCGAAACTCGTCCATGCTGCTTTTTTCAACTCCAACCACCAAAAAGATTACCGCATCTCCAATTTCAATCTCGAGTGACATTAATTTTGAATACTTCCTTAATATTTTTATATTTATAAGGTATCATGTGAAATAAGTTTAGAGGTAGAATATGAAGTGAGATTTCGCATACAGTTTTTTCTTTTGAAATTTCAACAAATCATAAAATATATTAACAAATCATAATATCAAACAAGTTAAATACCTCATCTATATATATAAATTATGAATTAACATTTATCAAAATTAGTAGGTCAATTTATGGTCAAAGTCTGGTTTGCATTAATTATTTTCCAAAAATGACAAGTTTTATGTCCTTTTCACACGCCTCATTAAATACACCGAATTAATTATCATAAAATCATTCCATATGAGTTGTTTCTGTTACTACACACAATTGCATTAATTTCGGCTTAATAAATAGTGAGCATTAACTGCAACAGATAATATGTAATAAATCATTCTTTCACGCCATTGCTTTAATTTTTTCACAATTTGGAATCAACTTTTCCCTTTTTTGTGGAGGGATTTATTTCATTGTATATGATTGATGCAAATCCTTTTTTATGGAATCCAAATCCGTACAATCCACTAATATCCGTACAATACACGTAGTATCTGTTGTAAATCTGTCGAAAATAATTTAATATATACTGGTATAAATCTATTGAAAATAATTTAATATATATTGTTATAAATCTGTCAAAAACTAATTAAAAATTAATTTAATATATAATGTATCTATACTTATATAAAAAGGCCATCCCATTTACTAGAATTAGTAGGAAGAAAAGTCAAAGGTAATTAATGCATTCTATTTCTATCAATTAATTTTTATTTAATTGTTTTTTTTCCATAAAATCGGTACAAAAAAAATGTACGTAAAACAAAAAAAGGCAGATTTGATTGGATGATAAAATCATGATTTTACCAAAAATAAATCAGATGTCAAAACCTAAATTGAAGGGTTTGGTTGTCTATATAGATATTGATTTACGTAAATCAATACATTTAATATTTATAGTTTGTGTAGATTTAAAATTCCTTCTTATCTTTGTACCAAAAATCTTATCTAATTGTATAGAAAATATGATTTGATTTGTTCCTCTACATATAATGTGATTTCCGTATATCAAGATTTTTTCTTAAAAATCTTAACAGATATTGATTCCACTCTACTAATTATAAATTATAAATCTCAAAATATTGAGCCATCGTCTTCCTCACTTTCAACCTCTTGCGAAAAAATATCCCCAATCAATCTTTCATTCAAAACAATGAATCAAGGATTTTGCGTAATCCAACAAGTTAATAATAGACCTATGCTTAAAGTTTTAATTGTAAGAATGTTTTTAAAAGACTGGGGCAGCACGTACAAATCCTATCTCGAGTTGGTTCTGCATGATAAAACTGTAAGCCAATTATTTTTACTTCTTTTTTTTTTTTTTTATTTCGAAATATGAAACGTATATTTTTTATTTTTTATTTATTTTATTTTTAAAATTTATAATTTGCCTTATTTCTTCTAGAAATCGTGTATATATTTAGATATTTATATTATTTATGTTTTTTAAACAAACTAATTTTTTATGATTGCTTTTTTGTACATGTTTAGTTTGTGAGAATGACGAGTTGTCTAATAATCAAACTCATAATGTTGTGTACAAGGAGATCTTTAATAATATATGATTGTATCTTTGTCAAATACTATCTTATTGTACAATTTTCTTACGTATCATAAAACTTTTATTTAATATTGCAATTATAATATAATATTCCCCAAATAAATATATCTCGTGCCTTGCACGGGTCACGTACTATATGTATCCCATACATTTTTCTTTATTCATGAATATAATTATAAGTCTGGATAAATAGCCTTAAAATTGTGCACCCCATGCATCGCGCGGGCTCTGCACTAATAATTTTATAAATCTTTTTAACATTTCAAATGAATACATCGAGACTTTTAGCAGTCTAAATTAAACACGCCAAGATTTCTGAAGTCTTAAAAAGTTTTTTGAAAATCTCAAACGAATACACCTAAGTTTTGAGATGTAAATTAAAATTTTCTTTTAGGAATCAAAAAGATAAAAAAATTGGAGCAATTCAATAAATAAATAAATAAAAATCATTTTCATCAATGAAATCAAAACAAATAAGCCATAAGAAACATTAGTTGGTGAAAGAAAAATCAAATAATTATTCGTGGCATACAGTTCCTCTCTAATAGATTTGGACAATTTTAAAAATATTCTCATGAGACATGGTTGGATATACGTTATTTTGATTAAGTTATTTATATTTTTATTGGATTTATTGGTTAATCACATTTAATTTTAAAAAAGTTGTTTAAGTTGAGTTTGAGTGAAATTTTGAGTATATTAATTTTGCAAAAGTTAGTTAAGTTAGGTTTGAATGAGATTTTGAGTTTGTATTAAAACAACATTTAAAATAAAATAGTTAATGTTGATTTAATATAAAAGCATGAGATAGGTGATTGGACGTGACATGTAGTTGAAATTATGTGAGCTGAATAATAATGAATTAAAGTTGATGACTGATTGATATTCCTTAATTATATTAATAATATTAAGAATAGTGAGGTTGATATTGATTTTTGTTTATTAGTTTTGCTATAAAGCCAACAATTGGAGAAAATTTCAAAATTAGTCCCACAGATATAAGGGGGTGACAATTTTGGTCCCGACGGAATGCACAAAATATGAATAGTCTCACAGCTTTTAAAAAATGATCAAAAGTAGGACTTTTCGCCAGATTTACTATTTCCGGCCCGGAGCGCCACGTGGCTTATTTTTTACACGCTGACATCCGACGTAGATAGGAAAAAATTCAAAACTAGTCCCACAAGTATAGGGGTGACATTTTTGGTCCCGATGGAATGCAGAAAATTCAAAACTAGTCCCCCAACTTGTAAAAAAATATGAACACGTCGGATGCCACGTGGCGTTCCGGGCCGGAAATAGTAAATCCGGCGAAAAAGTCCTACTTTTGATCATTTTTTAAAAGCTGTGGGACTATTCATATTTTTTGCATTCCGTCGGGACCAGAATTGTCACCCCCTATACCTGTGAGACTAATTTTGAAATTTTTCCCAACAATTGGTTCCCCATGGAGTCAACCTTTTATATACAAGCATATATTGGAGAATTTTGTTTACTCGTTGTATATAGAAAGTTGGTTCCAGTATGGAGCCAACTTTTGGCTTCACAGTAAAACTGTTTATTTATATATACCTATATCAATTATCAAGCATATATGTACTAAATCTCCAATTTTGAGTGCTGAGCAAGTTGATTTGGCTGCCATGTGACATGATAATTTTTCCGTGATTGTTCAACAAAATCTCCAAGTGCATTTAAACTATGTTAATGTATCATGTATGTTTATTAATGAACTAAAGTAGCAAGTTGATTAGGCTGCCATGTGACATGTTAAGTTTTCGTGATTGTTCTACAAAATCTCCAGGCATTTAAACTACGTTAATGCATGTATGGTTTGTTAATGAACTAAAGCTTATAATCTAAAGCATCACTTAATATAATTAATCACCATGTATGGTTTGACTGGATCTTAATGAGGGTAGATATTTAGTTGGGTTTTAAATTTTTAATTTCCACGCTACAGCTAAGCTCATCCACCTGGATTATTCTCATTCTGCACTGTCGATTGATNTTATTCATTTAACTAGAGCTTGGACACACGTGTACGTGCTCACGTTTGTGGTCTGCCCTCCACTTATATGCCACCAAACCATCCTTTGACCGATTGAAATTTAATGTTTTAGGACACACGTCCAAAACAATGACCTGTTTGGTACTTTAGCAAATAATCAATAATTAATAGGCAATATTTTTATTTTTTTTTTGGTACAAATAATTAATAGCCAATTGAATTAGTTGATAGTAGATGAATGATCGATTAAACAGTTTTGACTGCTTGACTGGTTCAGCTGAATGCTTAGTAAATAATTACCTGTTAGATATGTATAAATATATTAAGCAACTAATACTACAAATTTCCATTTCAAAAAGTTCATCTTTTAAGCTTATCTAAAATTGGCCTTTTTAATCCCAAAAAATTATTTCAAACTGCAATTTGATCAAATAATAGTTAAATCAAATAAAAAAGTACTTCAAACTGCTAGTTGTCATCAAGTAGAGGTTCCAACATGTCAAACATCTAATTCACTTTAAATCTTTAATTCAACCTAAAAAAATGCTAATTTAGCAAACAAATGGGATTGATCTTCAATTTTGTAGTGTATTTCATTTCCATTTGCTTTAACAAGTAATGATATTTGTCGAGCCAAACAGCAGCTAGGTAGAGAGAGATTTCCTTTATGGGCAGAGAATATAATTTGAATGCAGATATTGTACAATCAGAAAGGAGGTACGTAAAGGGGACACGTGGAGTCAGGGTGATGGCAACAGTTGGACCGGCACGTGTATTGGCATTGATGTCACCTCCACATTTTCATCAAATGTTATTAATGAAATTAATGAGGTGTTCATGGGAAGTTTTTATTAGGTCCGGGATATATTTTTATTTTTACTATTGAGATTGTGATATATTGACATCCATATCCCTTTCACTT